CGCAGGAACAAAGGCAGCAGAGGCTCAGGTTCAGGATCCCTGCCTCACTTTATTTTTATTGCAATGAATTATTCAAAAGTTAATACCCACGTGACCAACACAAAGTCTTATCCTAAAGGCAGGCATGATAAGGTGGCCTTCCACCCTCACACCAGCACCTCATCTGCATTTTTGCCTTGCACAGAGGTAAGCACGAGGACTGCAGGTGCCTGGAGCAGGCTGCGAAGCACGACACGGGTGGGAGCAAGACTCCCTGCTGGAAGCTCAGTATTGTTTTGGCGAGCTTGGGCCCCATCTCTACTTTAAGGGAGTCCTTCCAACTTCCATACGTGCATTTTATGGTGAGGAAGTTCCAAATTTTTTCTTCAAACAGCTGAATACAGCTCAAGGGAGTTGTAGAAATGTTTGTTGCGTACAGCAAACTCCATCCAACTACAACTATTTGATGTTTTAATTTAACGTGTATTCCACATTTTTATCGCCTTTACCATAAGTTATCGTTTCAACTTCCTACTTTGCTGCCATTTTACAGATTGCTGCAATTCCACCTGCCTCCTATCAAAAAAAGGCATTGGAACAAAATCTAAGACCATCACCAGGGCTTTCAAGGCAGCTTCCAAGCTTCATCCTCCTTCTCCCCCCTCTTAAACTGAGGATTTTCTGTATGAGTAATTGTATTTGACCTATTTATTTGCTGGCACATTGCTTTTTTTTTTTTTTTTTTTCCTCCTTTCACAAAAGAAGGGGAAAAGAAGGAAGGAAACGTTAAAGCAACCTCTGCCTAAATTTCCAACCAAGCTGTCTGCACAGGAAGGTGGACTCTCACATCACAGCGGTTACTCTGATTTACCAAGAATGACTTCAGTTACATTCCCCTATCCCCAGAGGGTGACAGCTGAGCCACTGCTTTGCAGACTCGCACAAACACTTGCCTCTGTGTTTCTTGGAGCTATCTACACACAATATTTGTGTAGTAAAGCCTTGTCTCTAGAAAACAAATTATAAAATTGTTTTGTCCTGACTGTGCCTGATGCTAGGCTTGACTTCATAGGCACACATATTAAAAAAAAACAGCTTTACTCCCTATGGAAATTTCATCCATATCAGGCCTTCCAAAAGGAAGGGTAGGGAGTGAGGAGTCAGCACAGCTTGGGGCTGCCGAGGAGTTTCGGACTGAAGGAGAAAGCACCTTAACAATCCTAGGATAGTCTCTAAAAGCTTTTTTGTCAAGATGCTACTGGAGAGGGTGCTAGGAAACTGTACTGCCTTCCAAGGTTTCCCACAGCAGGGCAGAAATCTGCTACACAGAGCAGCTGCCTACCACCACCCGCCCCTCTCCCCATCAGCTGCCTCACAAAAATTGCTGCCTGCATGCAAGAGGCGGGCACACAGAGCCCTCCTCCATGCCCCAAGCACAAGTTTCTGCTTTTGTGTACCCTCTATATAGCCAGGAGAAGCATTTCATAGAGACAAGGAAAACAGAGTGTTCCTACAGAAAATGTACAGGGGAAGGAGGTATTTACTCTGAATATTACATTTTTTTAAAGTCTGAGAGTTTTTGTTTATATTTCATTTATTATTTTTACATAAAACAGTTCCAGATCACTCCTTAAAACATACTGCATATTCTAAAGACATTTTCACCATCCAGGATCAGTATTTCTCGAAATAAATAAAAGCAGGAACAGGATACAATCCAGCCTGTATCTTTGATCCCTCTTCCTTGTATTTCCTCCTTTCAGTTTCTTTATCAAATCCCATACCAAACCACCAAAAATAGAGTCCTATTAACGGCAATAAATCATCATCTATGGATTTCAAAGTGCTGCATAATTTCTAGTTAATACTAAATGTCAATGTATGTGTTGTACTTTATTGACTGTTGCACAGCAGAGCTATAATCAAGGACGTGCAATTAGTACAGCTGAAAACTCAAACATTTCTTTCCCACCTAGAAAAAAAAAAAAACAACATGATTTCTAAGGCCTTACTGCAGATGTTGCTGCCTATCAGCTTGGAGAGAAATTTTTCTTAAGTCTTACTTTCTTGACCATAGTCTGAAGTATCTTCTAGGACCATTCTTGGCACAACAAAGCTTACGGTGCAGTTTCCTGCATGCTTCTAATTTGTATGTGCAAGAAGCAACCCAGCCTTTCAGCATCACTAGTTATTTGTGCTGACTTCCAACAGGACCTGATCCACCAGTTTCTGAAGTTACTTTGGTTTGATTTTCTTAAAACAGCACTGTCTACATCTAGGTTTGCTGCTTCCTTTAGAGCTTTGCTTTCCTTTAGAGCTGTGACCTGTGTCACACTCTAGTAATCCCAGTAATATGCCGGCTACATACATGTAATTATGTTATTCACTGTCTCAGCCCAATCTTCTCAACGATGTGTCCAGTGAAGGTCAAACTGATGAAGGTGTCAAACATGTGACAGCCATCTTAAACTATCTACCTGAGGCCTGATGAGCAGCTTGTTTCATTTGTTTAAGATGTCTACATACTAAATAGCAACATCATCTTTCTACTCGCTGCTTCATGCTCCCCACAGTAGGAAACAGGCTCAGGCATATCGCTCAGGCAATCAATGTCACATTAAGACTCCAAAATGGGAGGATCTGTTCACTCTGTCAAGAGTAAAGAGGCCTCGCAGAGATCTTGACAAATTAAGAGGGTTGTGCAATCACCAACTGCATGAAATTTAATGAGAGCAAGTGCCGGATTCTGCACCCGGCAAGGGACAACCCCGGCTGTATGCACAGGCTGGGGGCGAGAGGCTGGAGAGCAGCCCCGCGGAAAGGGGCCTGGGGGCTGTGCTGGAGGCCAGCTGGCCACGAGCCAGCCGTGTGCCCTGGGGTGCACCAGGGAGGGCATAAAGCTGGCAGAGAGCCTCCACGGGAGGGCTACAAAGATGGCAAAGGATCTAGAGGAGAAGACATGTGAGGGGCCTGGGTTTGCTCAGCCCCGAGCAGAGCAGGCTGAGGGGAGGCCTCATGGCGGCCTGCAGCTCCCTCACGAGGGGAGCGGAGGGGCAGGCGCTGAGCTCTGCTCTCTGGGGACAGCGACAGGACCCGAGGGGACAGCATGGAGCTGGGACAGGGGAGGGTCAGGCTGGGGCTTAGGGAAAGGTTCTTGACTGAGAGGGTGGTCAGGCACTGGGACAGAATCCTCAGGGCAGCGGTCACGGCACCAAGCCTGCCAGAGTCCAAATGCTTCTTGAACAACGCTCTCAGACATGTTGTCTGATTTTTGGGTGGTCCTGTGTGGAGCCAGAAGTTGGACTTGATGATCCTTGTGGGTCCCTGCCAACTCAGGATTCTACGATTTTATGTTTCTGACTCAAAGAAACAAGAGCAAGATATAATTTCTAGCTGACTTATGAGTTGCTCATTTGGTTATTACTGGATACTGTTTCACTTCTGAAAAAATCAAGTTTGTAATACAGAATTAAATCACTGAGAGTTAAAAAAGCTTTATTAAAAATATTCCATAAGACCTGCCCCAAAATAGGTAAACAGCACTCTTTTCTACCCTCTGAATAAAAAGGGTAACATTAATAAAGATGCCAGTACTCCTAAGAGCAGGTAGTCATATTGGAAAACGCAAGCGCTACAGCTTAACAACTTCAGTATTTAGGATCAAGTAGCTTGTTTTGAGCCTGCACAACACAAGTAGTCTTTGAAGCTGATGAGTTGCTGCACTAAGAATAATTATTCTATTAAAAAAAAAAAGTCTTTTACAGCACCTGAGCCCTGGAGCACTTAAATGTCGAAAAAAATATCCTGGTGTTGAATTTGTGGATTCCTGCATTCTCTATTCATTGAGCTCTCTCCTTGCATACAGGCAGAAAAGTCGGTCTGACTCCAGTATTTCTATTCTAAAGCTATTCAAGAGGCTTGTCTTTCGGGTTTCTTCAATCCAGTCCCTCTCAAATTAATAGTGTGAAAGATTCCTAAGAGTTACAGATTTAGTACAGGTTTGGCTACCAAAAAAATAAAACTAAAAAAAAATTTAAAGTCAGGTAGTTGAAAGACACTACATTAATTCATAGCCTTGAGCTGCCATGGCACAGAGATGCTTTTTAAGTTGTGTTGGAATTAGACTCCTCTAGGCATTCACAGGGTTACTACAATGCAGGAGATACTTTGGCACTCTTCTGTGTTAATTCTGAAAGATCTGTTCCTCAAGAGCTCAGCCATTCAAATGGCACTTGAAGGGCTGATCTAGCTGCTCTGACTGACCAGAGTACATCTAGCTTTAGAGGACACACAGGTCTTGAATAAAAGCTTTTTAATTCTATTCAAGGGAAGACTGTTGTGAACTGAATATACCTGAAGGCCTGCTCTGGGGGGAATGCAAGGTTATTATTTGCTATGAAAAGATGTCCAGGGAGCAAAGGGTGTTACAGTAATTCATTTTAACCATGGTGATTTCAAAAGATGTATACATTAATTTATGAAAAGTTTGATTTAGAGAGAAGAAAAATAAGGCTGCCAAAAGCACTAATGGGAGAGAGATATCAAATGCCACTGAAATGTTAATACCAGCTATCTGTCCCCCCTGCTCCCACTTCTCCCTCTCCTCCCCCCCCCAAAAAAACACTAGCCAGTTTTCCTATAACAGGTGACTTATTTGTCTCAGTACTTTAAGAAATAAAGGGACTGGCAGAGACAATTTAATCAGGGGAGGAAGTAGTGAGGATTTTAGCAGTCAGTCATGTCCTTTTTTTGACAAGTCACTAAGCTAAGATCATGAGCCAGTATTTCCAGACACTGACTACCATAGACAGTCACAGGGTTATGGCAAACATCGCTCAAAAAAAAGTCTTATTGTAAAACAATCCATTCTGTTATTGAAACATTTGCATGTGGGAGCGTATCAAACCCACAGTCCTTCCTACCATAAGTGAGCTAAACATTTTTATGTCAGTAACATTCTGCCCCAACCCTATCTCCTGGTCTGTACTACTTGGAGTCCTGAAGTGTCCAAGTATTCTTACCTTTACGCCATGGCCAACATCATCCAGCACCGTGTAGTCTATAGGTTTTCGAATATACCTTACAGGACGCTCCATGTTCGCTGGCGCTATAATTTTGTGAGTTCTCGATGTGTTCTTATTGGTCGTCAAAATGCCTATCTCTCTGCGAGCGACCTTTTCTTTATGGATGTCCACAGTCTAGATTGAAAACAAGAAAGTATGGGTTTCTTTAGGCATTTGTTGTTTTTCTTTTCAGAGCTATCTACATGTTTAGGCTACGCTATTAGACAAAGATTCTGAACCGAGTTAACGCTGCTGGAAGGATGCCAGGTTATTGACGAGACGAGTTTAATCTACACGAGCATTTTTTGAAAATTACGCTTTAATGAAATAACCAATATTAATAATAAAATTACAATTATACATTACTGCTTTGATGCTCTAAAGACACTACGCAGATACAGTATGTGCAGATTAACCCTCGACATTCTTATGAGTGACAACAGCAATAAATTACTCCCACTCCCCAGCTGGGAAACCAGGACAGACAAGCTCAGCAGTTTGCCCAGAGCCCCCGAGGAGGACTGGGCTTGGGAAGTCTGCAAGGTAATTTCTTTCAGCAGAGCCATCAGTGCATATTAAAGTAACAGCGTGCAAAGGGAAGGACCAGTCTCAGCCCTGACACTAGTCTCGGTCACACTGTTTAAAGCACGTTTACTGACAGAATAAAATGGAGCCTTAGAGATGCAAGGAAGGGAATATAACAGCCACACCCCTGTTAAGCTCCATCATTATATTAGGAAATTCCTAAAGAGACAAAGAAAGGTCAGCCCTGCATTGTGTGAAGGATCATACTAGGCCTCGCACACCAGATGAGTGCTTCTACATGCAAGATAACTGCTGCTTAAACCCTCCTTGAGGTAGAACAAGTCCAGATCAAGCATCAGATGGACATAGCAAACCCCACTCCTAGGAAGCCTATTTCAGTGCCCAGGGATTTAATTTACTGGTTTAAGTAGTTACTAGAACCTCAGGATCTCATTGCAGAAGATGGTAGCTGACAAAAACCACCACTCTAAGTCGCTTTGAAGAAAACCTATTAAACCATCACTTTTTCCACTAAGGAAAATAATTCTTAGTCTGTAAGAGTCGATTTCGCCTGAACAGACAGAGTGTCAAAGCTCAGGAAAAAAATAAAAAAAAAATCACCCATCAGTACTGGTTTGGGTACATCTCTAGAAATGCCCTAAGCTAAAGTGGGTATTAGCAAGAGCAAGGTTTTGTTTAGTGAAGCAGAACCAAAGATGAAGCATAAAATTAGTTTGTGTTTCACTCCACATGAGGCAGGATGAAAAAGAAAAAGGTAAACATCAAGGAAATGACCATTTCTAATTTCTAGAAAAGCCAGCACTTGGTGTTTGGAGTTCACTATCAAATTCCTTCAATTGATAACTCTTCTACCCCCCTCTTTACCAAGTGTATACTCTCTCATACTGTTTAATTTTCTTAAGTATAGAAAGAAATTCTTCAACAGCTTTAGGACGTGGCATTGCAGATTGCAAGTGGGAACACAAGTGGAGAAGCATCTAAAAGCAGTGATATCGAGCAAGCTTGTTTTCACAGCTTAAAGCCAAATAATAGACAGCTTGTAACGCTGCAAAAGGGTCTTACTTTGAAAGGTAAGGAAACATAACATAAATAAAAGTTCTGATTTTTCCAGAGCTATGCAAGACATTACGTGTGTATGTCTGCATAGCTTATTTGGAGTAAGTTAATTACATACCCCAATGAAGTTTTGGAAGCTTTGGGTCAAGCTTCATTGTTTTAAATACTCATACCCTGAAAAAATACCAGTCAGGGTAGAAAAAAAAAAAAAAAAGCACCTTTCTAAATTAGACAACCCTAGACATGAAGCATTTGTCATTACATCAGTATCAAATACATCAGCCACTGCACCCACGTTTGTTCTGGAAGCCAATTTCACAGAAGACAGAGCAAAGACTTAAGAACAAGACTACCTGTGTTTCTTCAACTCCAGCTATTATTTGTTCTTTTCCTTTTAGAGACTGAAATGTGTTAGTGCTGTCTTTTAGTTGGCTTTCAGCAAGATCAAGAGCCATTATTTGAGTATTCTGCTACATGTTCGTAGCTCATCCCTCCTCCAATTCCTCTGTACAGCTTGAACCCTTTTGTTCAGCGAGCCACTAAAATGCAATGCCTCAAACTATCTTGCAGAACTCTAAGGTGCAACTCCTCACATTTTTAATACATGAGGACTGCACAGGTAAAAAATAAACACTTCAACAAAGTCACCTAAGTAACATGGGATGCCACAGAGAACGTCATCATAAGGCACACGCTACAGGGTCTTAAAAGAGGATGTTTTAAAATACTACTGTGCACAATTAAATTCATATTTTTACTTTACTCTTATGAGCAGAACCTGTTGCTACTAATAAATTAATTTTTGTTCAGTGTGGACAAAAATGCATCTTTATACTAGCAGTTCTCTTAATGTTGATGACAAAGAAAACAACCGAAACTCGTCACAGTACAAAAACACGCATCTTTTCCTAGCAGGTGGCTCATGAAGACTGACTTTTCCTCCCTGCAATGAACAATGAATTCCATAAATTACTAGAGCAGAGAATAAGAGATTTGCTGTTCAAAGCAACAGAGACTGCAGCTCTCACTTCCTACATCTGGCACACTAGGAAAGCAAGGTGGGGTTTTGCCCTGTGCAAAGCCAAGGCTCCAAACATATGCTTTGCACATAACAATGCACGTGAATTGTTGTGTGCTCAGCAGACAACACAAAGCACAATAGCTGCTCATTTTTATATTTGTATGCGTATTAATTTGCTTGATGGTGATGTGGAAGTTTATCGTTTAGTCATCGGCAACAGAGCCTTGATTATTTCACTTCCAGAAAGAGGAAAAAGCCATTTCTAGCAGGATAGCATAGCTGTCCAGCCAGACAACAGCCAATTCCCAAGTGAGACAAGCCAAACACACTGGGTAACAACCAAACCTGGCCATCCTGAGAGCCCTGGCCACAGCTGGCACCTGCAGCTGTGAGCTGGTGCCCACTTGGATGTGATAACAGGATGGCTCAGGTGGCTTGCCATCGCATACACGAGACCTAATTCTAACCTTCAGAGATGAAGAGAAGCATCTCTGGTGTAATTTAAGGTTTGGGATATAGGGATGGGATTCTCACTCCTAGACAACATCATCCAGAAGGAACAAGTCCAGCACTGTACTGATTTGGAGAAGAGGAAAGGCAGCCCTTCCAGAAGCACATGTGTTTTTTAGGAAACAAATTGAAGCTAAACCCTTTTGCCACTGTAACTAGGTGCTAGGGAACTCACCAGCTAATCCCAGAAGCAAAGTTGGGCTTGGAGGTTGAAGGGACTGTTAATGATTAGCTGCCTCCGCTGTCTGGCTGCTTCCAACCATTTGAAAGAAGCAGTGGGTCAACAGGATGTGGAGTTAAACTTTAACTGCTTGCTTTCTCAGAAGTAGCCTCAAGGCCAAGTGGAATGCAGCAGTGATGCAGCAAGAAGTGAATTTTTTTCCTTTTGTGTGCCTCTGACACAGCTCTACCCGTGCAAGATGCCCTCGACAAATCCTTTAGAGACAGAGGCTGCAGTATACGTGGCCAAGCTAATCTGGGGAAATATCTCAACAGTTTAACGAAGCCCACATATATAAGGATCAGATTAAAAAAACAACTTCAAGCTTTGGTCATCTTCATAATATTGAACCCCAGCATCTCAAACCACTTTCATGAGCCACATACTTGCACAGCCACAGCTTTTCTCATTAAGTGTAAGCACACTTGGTAAAGAGCAGGCTTTTTTTAATCTATTCATCTGCTGTTGCCAGTATCAGGCTGTCCTGAACACCAAGACAACTCACTGCACCAACACCACAGACTCACACCAGATAAACGCCTGGCAAGGAGATGAGGGGAAGCAATTTGTGGCACTGGGAAAAGCTGCCAGGCCTTGGGGAAGAGTGGGGTAACAGCAGAGGGGTAACCCAGCCCTCAGCAATCGTGGTTATCACATAAAAAAGTAGACAGATGAACCCCCCAAAAATATGTTAATAATTTAGTTTAAGAAACTACAAACTAATTTCTTTTTGTAAAAGTCAACACCACTTTCACCCATGTCTTCAGGGGTGAGTGAAAAGGCACTTCAAGGGCATTTCCTTGATTTAAAAATGTAATGTTCAACATACATTAGACAGAAACAATCCTAAAATTATGCCACCATTTTTAATGATAGTTTTTCAGGCCATTTCATACAAAAATTTCATTTTTTTAAACCACATCATAATTGTCCTTCAAACAACTGCTCTGTGCTGCAAAGATCTGCCAGGAGGTAACTTTTCAGTTTGGCTCCAGGTTCATTCAGACAAGAACAAACGTAGGCTCAAACTCCACAGGCCACCTGAAGCTGCTATTTAAGAGAAAACAAGGAGAAAAGGAAGGCAGAACTGCTTGTTATTAGCCACAGCGCTCCCTAATTTTGACATTGTTTTCCTTTTTCGCCTTTTCAGTTTGTGGTTGAATACGGGGTTGAGTTTATTACTGAAACTTGATTTGAAAAGAAGTAAAACCTTGATTACAGGGCAAATCAGCATTGCACACATCTAGGTGTTAGCAACAGCAGTTAGGATTACTTTATAGGAGCAAAAGCACAGACACGAGACGGCAGCATGACCCCTTACCACTTCCCAGCCCCATCTTGCCAGCATATTTGGTGCAACTACAGATCACCTGCATTTTGTCTTGGCAAATGGACCTGCACAAGGCTGGTGCTGGACTTCCTGCAAGTCATCTCTACAAACTGCTAGGGTTTGTGCTTTTAAACAGCAAGTTAACAGGGAGAACAGGACTTCATTTGTTTCATATCTGAGAGCAGTGAAATCCCCGTAATCAAAAACTGTATTGCTGGCAATATAAAGGAAAAGAATGCCATAAAGATAAAAGTAGGATTTCTGCTCAAAGACAAAACAATTGCAACACTAGATTTGATGTGTCAAGTCAGGCTAGCAAGCCGTCAAGTGTGCTTTCAGCAGAAATTTTGCTTGATGTTATAAAATACTGGGCAGACGCACAAGCTTCAGACTGAGCCCAGTCAATAAAACCCTGCAATGCATGCGGCAGGGAGCAGTGCGGAGAAAGGAGT